CATCAGATTGCGGTAAAACTTTGTCAACATATTGCTTGCACTTCGACGAAGGTTATAGACATAGTTAAACTCGGTAGATGGCGCTGTTGTAGAATCCCGTGAGAAGCCGGGGCACATCGCTAGTTTATAATAATTTATATAAAAACTTCTTCACAATAAGTTGATGCGGCGCATGGTGAAGTTTCTGAAAGATTTTGACATCAGCTTGAGTCGGCAGATAGTCAATCACGACAGTATCTCAAGGCGTAGCAGACACATTATCTTGAGGTTCACATCACCATCGGAGCAATTGTCTCATTGTTTCCACTAACTGCAATAGTTCCAATGCGCAGATATTTAATTCACAAAATCGTATAATTTTTAGTAAATCACTCAACATATTAACAAAATCAGCCATCCGCAGCCGACCAAGCTTTTGCCTCCAAAAACTCCACCAGGTGTGTTCTCCACCAAATAACTTAGTTACTTATTCATAAATTAATCTTTAAATATTTGCGGTATAAAATATAGAATAAGTTAATAAATAACTAGTTTTGTTGGTGGTCAATAAAATAATGGCTTTTTTAAATTATATAAATTGTGTCGCCATGTTTTTACAGAAAATGTAGTTTAATAGAATAAATCAACGAGAACAATATTTGTTTTTTCTGTTCTAAATCATTCATACAAAAGGTAATATTTTTAAGCATTATCTAAAAATCTTCTATTTAATCGTTCGAGAATTTTGCATACACTGTTTTTTTTACACAATTACGGTACCATACGTATTTAACGTACGTATGTAACGTACGTTAGGTATTTAATCTAACAAAACACACATATTATAACTGAATGTAATTAAACTTTGAAAAAAAAAGTCTTGAATTTTTATGTAAAATACGAAGAAACTTTTTCCCCGACCTTATATAAAAAACAAAACATAAAATACCAACACTTTTTTGCCCTGACGTACGCTACATAGAATATTGAAAAAGGAACATTACAAATCACACAACATTCACGGCTCATTTAGTCTACCTGTCAGTAGATATAATGCCGGCAAAATTTTGAAATTAATTTTAAAAATCTCTAGACCATAGATTATTATGTGGTTGACAAATGTCGTTGGCTATATGGACTTAAATGTATTAATGTATTTGTAACACAATTTAAATAAATTTTAGCTTTTTGCACTCCTACTCCGCATAAATTTTTAACATTGACATACTTCACCGTGCTAAGCTTATAAAGGGTTAAAAAGTTTTCTCTGCGCGGTAAAAATTTTCATAATAAAAGAGGTAACGTTCTTTCCCCCATTAACATAGTTTAATTTTCATAATTTTTCAGAATTGTTTTAGACATAATGAAAAACTAGGTCATGCGTTATTTTTTTGCGTTATTTAAAATAAAAACGATATAAATTATTAGCATCCAAATATCTATATTTTTGACTTAAAAACTTCTTCGAGCGTTTTGTTTTAAATTAAACTAAACAGAATTACCGAAAAAGCAAAACTTACAGACCTAGATTAAGGTCTACTAAATCTAATGAGATCAAAATTGTTTCATTTCGTAAATTTTTAAAGGGGTGTTAGCGCCCGAAACAATATTTTAAAAAGAAAATTTAGGCAAGACTTACTACTCTCTCTATTGCACGAGGATAGAGATGGAGTGAGCGTATGAAACAGACAGTTTTTTTGAAAATACCTACTTGGGCCGCGTATCGCCGCTTCACAATCCTCTTAATATATTGATTAGTAATGTTAATTTCATTTCTAGCGTAAAAAAAACAATTACATTGCAACAAATTCATAACTTCAACGTATGAGTTGTAATTTTTTTCTGTTCAGGAATATTTTAAGCGAAAAGGAAGGCGAGATCCGACCGGTTCAGTAAACATGTCTATCTTAGAAACAATTATCACTACGTTATAGTAGTTTCTGAGATATAATGTGAACAATAAAAAATATGTTACTTGCGTCGTGATCCGTTCGGTCATTTGTAATTATAATTTACAACGTAATATTAATGACTTATTTCTTATTGCCTCTGGAGCTACTAGCTCAGCACCTTATCCAAAAAACAGCAATGAATTTTATTTCAAAAAAACATTAAAAAAAAAGAATTTTAGTAGCGCGTAGTTTTAGGGGGTATTAGTAATGTTTACAAAAACGAGCACACAGTCCACGTGATGGTAAGTGGACGCTGTGGCCCATAGAAATCTATATCTATCCTCGATTAAGAATCAAAATGCAGATGCGTTGTCGCCCCTGAGGACTAAGATGGAATGCCTCGTTTCCGATAAAAAGGGTCTTCGGTTCTCTACACTCACCATACAAAACATAGCAGCATTGCGCTACTATTTTCCGCTGGTTTTCTGTGAGAGCATGTCTTTTCCCGGTCGAACCGACCCATCCGTGCCTCAACCATAATATAGCTGCGGTATGGCTCTACCACGTATATATTTTTTCTTTAATATGACCTTTGATATTGTGATTTTATTATTATAGCCATTCACAAGTCCACTGCTGAACATAGACCTACCCCAAGGAATCCCACAGAGCACGGTCCTGAGCCACCTGCATCCATAGACTTCCTTTATCTCTTACCAGGTCGTCATTCCATATAGAGGGGGCCCGTCCTACACTTCGCTTATAAGGCTACCGACTCACCACTCACCTTTTGATCCAGATCCAGAGATACATATTGCGGTTTGGTCATAATGATTCTGCCAATCCGGTCTTTGGCCTGTCACATCTTGTCTTTAGGCTTCTCGGTGAGAAGGGAGTTGGCGGCTTTAAGTGACAATATGGCTAAAACAAAACTCAACTAAATACAAAGTTATTACGGCACAATAACTGAACAAGTCGGTACAATTTGGCGCTTCGTGTTGCGTGAGTGTCACTTATGAATTTCCTCATTACCGCCATCCTTTACGTTGATATTGCCGTTTCCAGTTTCTGGACATGTTCGGACGACATTATCCCTATCTAATATAACTGACGCGCTGGTGATTTAAAACTAATTGTTCGATATAATATTACTGCTATGTTATTGACTTTAAAATATATATATTTTCGTTAATTGTGAACTGATTTTAAAGACTCTTTTTAAATAAAAAAATATTTTAGTGGTCTTATATAAAAACAGTCCCACTGGATTACTTGCTGGTTGTTCCCAGGACAGCGGTTTATTAGTCAGTGAAAAATTAAATGTAAGAGTGACTTTCAATAAGTGTTATTTATAATCTATATTTAATAAAAAGCTTCCAATTTCTATTTCTAAAAACTAGGATAAAATTACATCCCTGAGGGATAAGAAATCTAGCTATTCCCTGGTATTTTATTATTCTTTATAGGATAAGGTGACAAATGAGCACACAGTTCACCTGATGGTAAGTGGTTGCCGTGGCCCATAAACATCTACATCTATCCTCGATTACGAATCAAAATGCAGATGCGTTGTCACCTGTGAGGACTAAGATGGAATGCCTCGTTTTCAGTAAAAAGGGTCTCCGGTTCTCTACACTCACCATACGAAACACAGCAGCATTAGGCTAGTATTTTACGCTGTAAAATAGTGTAGTGATGAGAGCGTGGTCCTTCCCCGGTCGAGCCGACCCATTCGTGCCACAACTATACTTCTAATATAACTGCAGCATGGCTCTACCACGTATAAAATAAATAATGGTTTTAAAATTGCTTTGACCGCTCAAAAGGTTCAAAGGACTAAAAATAATACATATTCGTATGCTCAGATGAAGTAAAAAAAGGCGTAGGATAATTAGATAAACTGAATTTTGGGAAAAAAATCTCGAGATATCGCGAAAACACGGATAGTTAGACAATGGCTATGACATTTAAAAACAAACACTCACACCTGTCACCCAGAGGGCTAGGCAGAGTCTACAGACTTCCATTTAACACGATCCTGACATACCTCTCTCGCCTACTTCACATCCATAAACCTACGCATACATGCTCGTCGATTAAAGGTACTCTTAATTTGGCCCATTTTTAATATATCGCCAATTTGGTCGACAAACTTTCGTCTAGGACGTACCTTTCCGACGCTTCCATTCACTTCTGCAACATATATTTGCTTTGTCAGTCTTTCTTCATTCATTCTTTCTACATGACCAAACCACCGAAGCATTCCTTTCTTAATCCTGGTCACCGCATCATTCTGCAAACCACACTCTTCTTTTATCACACAGTTTCTCATCCTGTCACTCAGATTCAGCCCTACCATACTCCTTAGCGACCACATTCCTACTGCATTTATTCTACTCTCGTGCTTCTTCTGCCACACCCAACTTTCACTACCATACGTTAAAGTAGGGACTAATATAGCATTGTGAATTGCCATACGTGCCTTTTTTGACACATTCTGACTTTTCACAATAGAGTGTAGAGCCCCATTTACTTTATTTCCTGCACTCACTCATCATTCAATATCCTTATCATATCTCCCATTCCTGCTGAATACTCATCCCAAATATATAAATACATCTACTTGCTCGACCATCTCCCCTTCCCCTATTCTCAATCTTACTGAAAAAAGATTAGAGGTTTTGTACCTTAGAATATACTTAACTCTGATTGGCTTGAGTTTGGTTTACAGACGTATAGTTTATGAGTAATGATTTTATTGGTAAAATGACAACCTCACTTTTTACACAGGAACCCAAAGTTACTTTTGTAACAGCTTTGGTGCTGCGGGAAGTGCGCCCTTGCGTAGCAAATCGCAGTCACCCATGTATACCAATAGCTTTTGAAGTTGGGACTTAGTTTAGTCGATACACTGTGTCTCAGCACCAACTTCTAAGCTATTAAATTATTTGATTCTTCTTAGTTATTTGAAGTCGGTTTTTAGTTTTTAAAGTTTAATTTAAAATAACAAGCCTACCTCGTCCTCGCTTAGACGTTGAGGATTTGAGGTTACAAGTGTTCATTGTGGATAGGATGGCGGTAAATAAATAAGTCTTTATTCCGTTTACTGTACTTTCCGTTTTCCCTTAGGACCCCTCTCAGGTCTTCTCGTCGTAAGTCAACCGCCCCCAGAAGATTGGGCCGCTCCGAGTTCAGTATGGACGATGATGAGTACTCGCCGAGTAACTCCGTCACTTCAGTCAACTCGCTCGCCAGCTTACTGAAGGAGAAGCTACAGGTTTGAGTTATTATTATTATATACAGAATAAGGGTGATAAGCAGGTATTATTTATTGGCCAAATTTGCAGAGAAGGTTCTGAATAAGTACAGTACGTACAGGCAAAAAATGAAGAAAATTTGACTAAAAAAATCTCAAACATTCTGTCCTTTTTATCTTTTAAATTAAAAATGCGTGGAAAAGCGTTATTTTAACTGATTTCACACACATTCGTAAGGGTCGTTCGGTAGGCAAAAACGTTGTTGCCTATAAATCACATTCAATTTGGGATAATTTCATATAAAAGAAGAAGCCTTATTTACTCGTTTTCAAAAACTGCAGCAACGGTATGTCATTATTTACATATTTGAATTTAAATTTTAAATTTGACTGCTCTTATACTTACGCAAACACAACACATTAAATGAAACTAATTTTGACGGATTTAACTTTTTTAATTCCTTACGTTTTGGGTGTCTTACAGCATCCATGGGAACGAGACGGGGGAAATGAAGTGTTTGACGTCCCAATGTCATAGTTAGCCCGGCTACCGTCATTGAAGTTCGAAAAATGGAGTACCACGTGACCATGGGTGCTGTAAAGCATCCGAAACGTAGGGATTTGAAATAGTTAAATCCGTAAAAAAATTGTGTCATTTAATTTGACTACTCTTTGAAAAATAACCCTGTATATAAAACTTCGGGAATTGAAAAGTTAATAGTATTCGCATCGAAATCAGTAATCAAAAATAATCAGAAATCAAGAATTATTTTCTTCATGCCTGGTAGAAGATCTTACCTTCTCCTTTGATAGACAAAGTGGCTCTTTACTTATCCTGATCCTTATATCGCTTCGATCATAAAGCGCGGTTTACATTTTAGGAAGTGACAAGTGCGCGTGGCAAGTGCAACTGACAAATGACAAGCGCTTAGTGCGATTTTTTTTCACACTTATCACGTGTCACTGCCTGTTGACACGCATTAAGCAGTTGTCATTTGTCAGTTGAACTTGCCACTCGCACTTGTCACTTCTTAAAATGTAAACCGCGCCTAAGTCGGAAGTCAACAACTCACTCATTAATTTTTCAATTTCTAGAGCATTCCGCAAAAGATACGTAAGAAGCCGACAGACTACAAGTTGCGTGCATTCGTGGGGCTCATGTTCCTCGCGATAGTGTTCTTCGTGGGGTTCGCTTACGTACTGTATCATCAGCAAGCTCTCACTAAGGCTTACTTTGAGAGCGTGCAATTCAATGAACCAAAGAGGCTCGTCAGGATTTTTAATAAGGATGAAATGGAGATATTAAAAGCCAGTTTAGGTGAGTTTTATGTATCTTTTCATTAGTTTGTCAGATCTAAAAGTCCAATACCTTGTCTTGGCCTCTGTTGTTGTAAGAAGGGTTTGGTTTAATCGCAATTTTTTTATATCTAGAATAAGGGTATTATACAAACACACATTCTAACTGCATGCAGATGCATCGTCACCCCTGAGAGCTAAGATGGAATGCCTTTTTTCCAGTAAAAAGGGTCTCCGGTTCTCTACAGTCACCATACGAAACACAGCAGCATTAAGCAACTATTTTAAGCTGGTATTCTGTGAGAGCGTGGCCCTTCCCCGGTTGATCCGATCCATTCGTGCTACAATCGATTGTAGCTGCAGCGTGACTCACTACTTAGCACCACTCGTAACGGACCCGTATTGTATGGTGTGTACCGGTATGGCGTAAAGGAGATGGTTATATCGTTATTTTAGGAACCACGGAACAAAATGGGGGTGATAAGCTACTAAAGTAGGGCTACTTAGAATTATCTTCCCCGCTAGTCTTACACGTGTTTACTTGAGCGAACATTTTTGAGTGGTTTTACCAGTAAGTCTATTAGGGCGAATGGTACCCAGTAGTTTTAACAGTAGGTAAAATGGAAAGAAAATTTTCAGTAATACTACCGAAAATTCTTTTACCACGCCACCGCAAGGTCTCTTAAGTATTATTTATGCTTTTCGACAGCTGTGAATATGCAAGGCAAAAGCAAAGCGTTCCCGTGCCTACCGGAACACCGGAGAGGCGACGGGTCCGAGTGCATGGAGTGGCTGCGCGAGCTGCGACTGTACCTGCGCTGGCTGCCGCACGACCCCGGCCTCGACAACACCACCTGCTACAACGTGCACTGGGTGGCGCTACGAACAGGTGAACCACCAACAGGGTTACCAACCCTACCATTCATCGTTATAGCTCTTCACAAGTACACTGCTGAACATAGGCCACCCCCAAGGAATGCCACAAAACACGGTTGGCACGATCCTGAGCCACCTAAATCCTTCGACTTCCTGCAGGTCTTACCAGCTCGTCACTCTATCTAGTGGAGGGCCGTCTTACACTTCGTCTACCGGTACGAAGCTGTCACTTTTGAACCTTTCTTCCGTTCCGTTGTCGGTTCTTCGAATTATATGGCCAGTCCGTTGCCACTTCAGCTTACTAACCTTACCATTACAGAGTCTAACATAACCCGTCCTTGTCCCATCCATGAAGAGATGCTCGCGTAGGCATTATACTTATCCTATAAAAACCATGAAGGTTTTTATAGAATAAGTGTAATAAACGAGCACATAGTCCGCGTGATGGTAAGTGGATATTGTGGTCCATAGGCATTTATCCTCGATTGAGAATCAAAATGCAAATGCGTTGTCACCCCTGAGTAATAATGAGGAATGCCTCGTTTCCAGTAAAAAAGGTCACCGGTTTTCTACACTCAATATACGAAACACAGCAGCATTAAGTTGATATTTCACGCTGGTATTCTGTGAGAGCTTGTTCCAATCGTACTGCAAACATATTGTAGCTGCAGCGTGGCATTTTTTTGCCATTTTACAATTCTTACAACTATGGGATGAAATAGATTCTTTCGTCCAAATTCAATCTTTTTACAATACTTATATTCACATATGCTTTACAGATGTTACGCCTACGGACTGTTTTGACTGGAGCGATACAAAAGTCAACTGGTATGGAGGTGGTCAATCCCTAAATTTGACCTGGCCAATCAACACAGGCTCTATAGACTTTACGCCGTTCATAACTGGCGACATGCAGAAATCTCAATGGAGTAACGTCTTAACACGGTACTTCATTAACTCGAAAGGCGCAGCGTTAATCATAGACGAGAAAACGCCCCTCTACGTCTCGATTAATAGAGGCAGAAAGGAGATATGCTTGAAAGCGAAATACGACGATTTTGCATACGTCAACAAGTTAACGGAGTTCCCAGAAATGAGATATAACATTTGCACGTCGAAGGATATAAAATCTCTTCATTCATCTATACACAGCCACAGACGAGCGCCGTTGTGGGATGGCTTGAAGCCGAAAGATATGCAGACCCTAGAATCACTAATATCAGAGCCCGTGTGGCAAATCGCACCCAGGTTCAAACACGAGCTGAGTGCGGAAACCATCTCGAAGTACACCGATGATGTCATCAATTTAGGCTTCCTTAAACAAGGGCATGTGTTAATCAATGAATTCTGGCAAAGTGAAATTGGGGATTTTTCGGTTGACAGAAGTCGATTCGAAACATTGAATGTGACCGTTGACAAATTACATAGAAGAGGTTTCAAAGTGACTTTCACCGTGCAACCTTTCGTTAGTACTGAAAGTGAAAACTTCGCTGAGATGGTGCAAAAGAGATTATTGGTAAATGAAAGGAACGGTGACCGTAGGATACCAGCGTTGACCCGGTTCAAGTCTTCACCGAGCGCTGGGGTAATAGACATTACTAATAACAGATCGGTTCCTTGGATATTGGAAAGACTTCAGACTGTAATAGACGAGTATTACATAGATTCGTTCTATTTAGATCTGGGCACAGCTTACGATATGCCACATTACTACCAATGCGAGAGACAGCTCATTAATCCAGATGAGTACAAGACAATATTCACAAAAATCTTTGAAAAGACGCTGGATATAATAGGTGTGTCATCAGCGGTAACATTACCGAGACCACCTATTTTTGTCTCTTTACCGCCATTCGAATCCACTTGGGAGGCGTTGAGACAAGTCATACCAGCGATGCTTACGTACGGTGTCAATGGCTATCCGTTTATAATGCCAGGAGCCGTTGGTGGAGACATCTACTGGCCCGGAAGCGAACAGTTCCTACCCTCGTCTAAAGGTCTGTTAGAATCCAATGCGACAAACTCGACTCAAGAGAACGGCATCAAATTGCCCGAAAGGGAGTTGTACATGAGATGGCTGCAAATGGCGACGTTCTTGCCCGTGATGAAATTTACGCATCTACCGAGTAAATATAATGACGAGAGAGTGTTGGAAATGGCGAAGAATTTGACTCTGTTGAGACAAAAGCTGGTAAGTTATATTTATATCTAGCAAGATGTGGTTATCGATTTACCTGCAAGGCGTGGCAAGTATGGCAAATATTGGGGATATTTGCCATACTTGCCACGCCTTGCAGCCTGCTTCGAGGCATTAGATATTGCCTTGCTTCGAGGCATTAGATATTATCTATAGGGGAGGTTTATTTTCAGACGTGGACTGTGATATTAAAATTTATTTACGTTCAGTTTTTATATATCTAGTTAGTAGTACTAACAATAATAAACATTATATTATGTAATATGTTGAATATAATACCGTACTTTAAATAGAATAAAACAAATATAAATAAAATTATGTAAAATAAATTAATAATAATAATAATGTCCTCCAGACCGAATTTCGGCCGCGGCGGCCTGCCTCAACGGAGCCTAGCCATCGGCGCAGGACAGGATTATAGTGCCCAAGTGTATGCGCAAGCACAGGTGCACTCTCTATTTCCTCACTCTCATAATCCGATGGGACAATAATCCGTCACCGGAAAGAGATGAAGCGCAGGACTAACGGCTTTACGTGCTTTACGAGGTACGGGGGTGAGACACCGCCAACTTCCTAACTCCGGGCAACTACTGAGAATTTCTTGACGGAAAAACTCAATAATTATTTTTTTGGCCCCGATCCGGGATTCGAACCCAGGACCTCATGAGCAGCAGTCACACTACTACAACCTCTGGACGTAGTCAAAATTATATTATATATTAAGTTGAATATAGTACCGTACTTTAAATACAATAAAATAAATATAAATAAAATTATGTAAAATAAAGAGAGTAGAGAGTGCTTGTGCACAGACTCGTACATTTGTTCGTGTGCTACGAGCTACGAGTATAATCCTCTGTTGCGCAAACGCTAGTCCTCGAAGCTAGCCTTCGTTGAGACTGGCCGACATTGTTATTATTATACTGTCGCAGATAACGCCGCTGCTGCTGAAGTATAAGCGCGAGGCGTTGGAGGAGGGGTTGCCGCTGATCCGTCCGCTGTGGCTGGTGTCGGGCGGGGAGGGGGGCGGCGAGGCGGGCGGCGTGCGCGACGAGTTTGCGCTCGGAGACGAGCTGGTCGTTGCGCCCGTGTTGCACGCCGGGCACAGCGCGCGCGACGGTAAGTGTGCACGTGTGGGACCTGCTGGTGGTGAGCAGGTGGTGGCATCTGTGTTGCGCGCCTTACGCATAGCGCGTGACGATAAGCGTGCACCTGTGCAACGAGCTAGTGTTGGCACTCGTGTTTTTGGTAATTTTGACACGCTCACTCGACGGCAGGTAAGTTTTTCATATAAGAAACAGAAACAAATGAGCACATTGCTCAAGCTGGTGGTAAGTGGATGCCGCAGTGCAAGGACACCTACATCTGTCATCGATTAATCATCGCAATGCAAACGTGGACCTCTGAGGACTACGATAGAATGCTTCGTAGCGAAGTAAAAGGGTTTTCCGTTTTTTAAACTTACCGTACGGAACACAGCTGTATTATTCCACGTTTTTATCCATGGTGTTTTGTGCGACCGTGGTTGAACGGTCAAGACGACTTGTTAATGATGACTTGTAATACAACTGCAGCGTATGCTGTGATAGCACAGCATATGCTGTTTGCATAGGCAAACGTATAAAAATTATTGTGCCGTGAGCACTATCGTTTAGGAGAACGTGGTAGAGCCATGCTGCAGCTATATTGTAGTTGTTGCACGAATGGGTCGGCTCGACCAGGGAAGAACCATGCTCCTACAGGGTACCAGCGTAAAACAGCAGATTTATGCCGCTGTTTCGTATGGTGAGTGCAGAGAACCGGAGAACCTTTTTACAGGAAACGAGGCATTCCATCTTAGTCCTCGGGGTGACAACGCATCTGCATTTTGATTCCTAATCGAGGATAGATGTAGATGTCTATGGGCCAGAGCAACCACTTAACATCAGGTGGACTGTGTGCTCGTTTGTCACCCTTATTCAAAAAAAAAAGATGGCCTAATTATTTCTTTGACCCCAATCGTAAAATACCCAGACAGGGCGGTAGAGAGATATTTCTGTTACAGTGTCCACCCGACTGTAGTGTGACCATTAAAGCAAAATACAGTACAGGCAAAATACACTAGGTGGTGCCCGCCGCAAAATAGCTGTGCGTGCATTGCTGTATTCCGGTCTAAAGGCTGTAGACAGCCAGTATACTAACAGGCTGTGAGGCGTACTATCTTAGCCCTCAGAGGTGACAACGCATGTGTGGCCTTTTTCGTTTGAAGTCGGTTGCATGCGTTCATAGCTTTCAGTAGCCATTTACTGTACTGTGGACTGTAAATTCGTTTGCTACTTCTCTTTAAAAAAAACACGCTGCATCTACATTATGACAACATCTGCAACACCAGGGTGGTTGCAAGTGCGTTGCCGGCCTTTTAGAAAGGAATAGGCTCGTTTTTTGAATGTTTCTAAGTCGTATCGGTCCGGAAAAACCGCTGACAGTAAACTCCGCAGTATAGTCGTGATTCATAATAATCATTACATCCAAGCCAAAATACCAACCACGGTACAGCTCAGTCAATCAATTGAATCATCACTACAATCCTTCATAAGTGCACTGCTGAACATAGGCCTCCCAATCAATACCATAAAGCACGGTCCTACGTCACCTGCATCTATCGACTTTCTGCATATCTTACCAGGTCGTCACTCCATCTAATGGAAGGACCTGCACTTCATCTACCGGTACAAGGCTGCCACTCGAGAACCTTTCTTCCCCATCGGTTGTCGGTTCTTCGAGCTATATGGCCAACCCATTACCACTTCCGCTTACTAACTGATCTGACTAATCCGTAGTGACTATACTATAATAAAGTGAAAATTTATAACTGCAGTATATCTACCGGCCGGACTGTGGCAGGATGGTATCGACGGCTCGCTTCGCAAGGGCAGTCGTTGGATGCACGACTACAAGGTTCCCGTCGACCGCGTCGCCTACTTCCTCAGGAAACCGGACGACTTGAGATTTAAATAACCATGATGTTTTATCTCCTTACAAGTTATACATTAAAATGGACCTTAATGAACACTATAACGTATTCATTATCAAGGATTCGTAAAGAATCTGTCCCGGTTAGCAGTGCGAGTCGATTTCAAAAAACAATAATCGATTCGACAACTTTTAATTCTTTTATTATGTTCCATTGTAAAGTACGCTTCTGTTTAGAGTAAGTAAATGTTACAATCAGTATCAGAATAATATTTTGACAGTCGTTTTATTGGAATAAATGGGATAATTCAACGAATAATCGAGATTTGATTAACATTCATAATCGCGCATCGCTTGTTTTATTGACTGACGTTAGCAAGTACATTCCAAAATAACAGCAGAGAATACAAAACAAGTTGTAAATATTCATTTAATATCGCTTATAACATTACAGCAGCTTTAGTAAGCTAATACAGAAGTAAGATATTTTAGTGACGCGATATATTTATCGTAGGGGCAAAGAAAAACAAATTGTATTAAAAAGATACAAAAAAGTTAAATTAGTTATATCACATATTGTGCCTAATACGTTTAGACCTCTGTCTTAATTAACTTTATAATGTTTGATTTTGTATTCATTTACAATTTATATTAAGAAAATGGTCAAGTTAGATGGTTAAATTGCTTTAGACCACATTTTTTAATTTTAATGGCCTTGTGCTAATAAATCGGCCCTAGTCATCGGAGCAGTTCGTTATTTAACTTGACCGAAATATATTTTGTGTACGTTAATTTTAAGTATTGCCACTTATAAATGTAAGATATAATATTGTATAATTAAATTAAATTATAAAAATATTTCCATCAATATTTTAATCTAATGTTGACGAAGTGAAATGAGTTATGTTATAAATATGTTATTAATTTAAACTATTGCTCGTTGTTACAATAGGTATCGTCTTTACCTACAATGCGCCAAAGACTAGACATGCGTCTTACAGTATAGACACATTCGATGCATTTTTATTAGTTAATATTTTTTTAGTATCGAACCATATTATATATAGTCATGCTAAAAATGTAAGTGCAGTATTTAATCATATTTAAAAAAATGTAATAATTATCTTTACTCTTAACTTTAGTTACAAGTTGAAAAAAAAAATCGTTGCCAAAAAAGGCTTATATAATTTAAGAATTATATTAGTATAGCACAACCGCTTTTTAAAAATATATTGTATTAATAATTTTACAGAGAACTTTTTATTTCTTCAATTTGGTTTTCGGAACAAATCCGTCTAAGACTCGAAATGACTTTTCAGGTGCTGTCTTTTTTTCAGGCATATCTAACAATTTCTTGGCGTTGATACCTTGGGCAATAAATTCCTTTCCTGTAGAACTCTTTAAAATGTAATGTCTAACCTATTTTTTAATTGTTACAAACATGTGTGCGTAATGTTGAGAATTAATAATAAGCCTTAAGAATAATTTATTATTAAAATAAATAATATTACATATGTAAATTTACTCAAAAAGGGACCACTTTGTATTTTTTTTGCCAGTATATAAATTAGCCAGATGTAAAGTTTTGTGATAAATACTTGACTGATATTAAAGACATATTCTTATGTCTAACCTCAGTATCAACAAAGGTAATAGATAATTCAGTTTTTTTTTGTCAAAATAATTTTTTATGCACATAAATTTATATATACTAAAATATTGCGATTTGAAGTTCGAATGCTATGAAGTGGTTTGCTTTGACTTGTCTATAATTTTGCTAGTCTAGCAGACAAGACCTGGGAGTACTGTTTTAACTTTTAACTTTATGAACCTATGAATTATTTTTGCATAACTACACTACTAAAGGCAAAGTAGGCTACTTTATGTGGGCCACGCGTTGCAAAAGGGCCTTAACGACTGCCTCGTTGGTCTAGTGGCTGTAAACCCGGTTGCTGATCTTGAGGTCCCGGGGTGAATCCCGGGTCGGGCTAAAATCACTTATTGGGTTTTTCTGTTAAGAAATTCTCAGTAGCAGCTCTGAGTAAGGAAGTGGCGGTGTCTCACTCCCGTGCCTCGGAAAGCACGTAAAGCTTGGTCCTGCGCCTGATCTCTCTCCGGTCGGGTCGGATAACCGTCCCATCGGAATATGAGAGATCGAATAGAGAGTGTACCTGTGTTTGCGCTTACACAGTTGGCTAGTCTCCGTTGAAACTGGCTGCCGTGACCAAAATTCGGTCTTGAGGACATTATTATTATTATTAAGGGGTCCGCGATCTTAGTAGAATTGCCAGGGATCCCTACATGGCTTAAATCGACCCACCTTTATACGACCAGCTTTTCTCGAACTTTTACTTTTTACTTTTCAGCGAAAACTTAAACTTTTAGCTTTTCAGCGAACACTCAGTGTGTTCTATACAATGATCTTGTATTTATACATTACTTGTATTTATTATAAAGCATATTTTTTTGTACAAATAATAAAATGCATTGGTTGTCTTTACTGTTGTGATAAATAGAGTTTAAGTAGAAAGCATGTTTGAGTGTTGTGCTAGTAAAAATGCTTTATTACATATAATTGCCATATTTGAAAATTGTGTTTGTATGTACATTTTTTCATGGTTCATAATACGTGAGATATATATTAATGCATTCTTAAATATTCAGATTATCTTACGTGGTAGAGCCATGCTGTAGTTGTATTGTAGCTGCCTCACATGTAGCTTGGTTTGACCGGGGAAGGACCATGCTCTTACAGAATATCAGAATGAAAGCTGCACTGCTACTGGTAATGACGTATTCTATCATAGTCCGCAGGGGTGACGACGCATATGCATTTTGATTCATAATCAAGAAAAGGTGTATGTGTAAATGGACCACATCATCCACTTACTTTCAGGTAGAATGTGTCGTCTTTGGTCACCATTAGTTCTGTAAAAATTATAACTAGAAGAATATTGTATTGAATTTTGTAAGTGACGGTTAAGTCTTTAACGCAGTGTCTAGGAAAGTAAGAGCTATAGCTTTTAGATAAAGCTACCAGGGCACATAACTGTTTAGATACAGTAACGCAGTTCATTACACGCGTGTTACAGTATATATATATATATATATATATATAAAAGAATGTCGTTAAATTACAAGACTACACATGTCTGTCTGTACATCCCCTGAGCTGGTTACCTAAGAAACGTGAAACCTACGCCTAAATTATTTGACATTCCAAGGTTATTATTAAAATAACCTTAAATACAAATTTAATAAAGTCTGGTCGGCAGAGTTGATAATATGAGTTTTGTGATACGAGGCTGTTTCCAAGCGCGGGGCCGGCTTTTTTATTATGTATCCGTAAATAATTATATTAGTATCAGTAAATAATTAGCAGGCCCCAAGTTATAATGAGTTAAGTAACCCTGCTTTTTATCTTCTCGCCTTACAGATTATAAGAGTGAATAAATTATAAGTTGTTTAAATTAAAAAATAGCATTATGATAAATGATTCATATTAACTATTAAATATTTCCAGAGATCTATTTTTATGTAATAAATAAATTTTACATAGTGTAGAGATATTTTCCCTAATAATTTATTTCACAAGTATTGAGAGGGAAAGATAGATAAATAAATAGAAACAGAAGAAGTAAAGTCAGTAGTAAAATTTGACTAAAATTCTACATATTATATTACCTTTTTATCAATAAAAATATTAAATTGATGAAAGTTGTGTGTGCTGTGTAATTAAATATGGCGGGAAATAAACTTTGCTGTAGATGTGTAATTGAAGTTTCATTTTATCCTTCTTGAATATATATTAATACCTACGTGGTAGAGCCACGCTGCAGCTATATTATGGTTGTAGCACTAATGGGTCGGTTCGACCGGGGAATGCCCATGCTCTCACAGAATACCAGCGTAAAATAACAGCTTAAGAGGGTAGACGGTCTGCGCGGGAATTGAAAAATAGGTATTTGAAGAAACTATTGCCGTCCCTCACCTCTGGTCTCCACCCGAAGAGTGCGATAGGGACAACTGCAGATCGAAACGATTTTACCTACAAAAACCATGACCGATCGTCGTTTCGTATTCCCCTGTTTTCTCCTCGAAAACTGAGCCAATTAAGTTATTTTTGGTATCAAAATTTAAAGGAAGAATAGATCTATGCTTCTATCATCTGCTTTTATCTTAAAAAATTTTCAAATTTCTTTGGTAGTCGTCTGATTACGAAGGTAAAAACGAGGCATTTGTTTTGCTTTTGGAAAGTCATATTTATTTTTGTAATAATTTTTTGAAAAAAGTAAATGACAGGGGCATGCCTTCAATAGATCTAGATTTTTATAAACAAAAACGATTACTCTAGAGGCATTATCCAGGAATAAAATAGGGGACCCTCTTAATACTGCTGTGATTCGTTTGGTGAGTGTAGAGATCCGTAGACCCATTTTTACTGAAAACGAGGCACAACTAGCCTACGCCACAAAAGAGAAAACCGACTTCTTAGGCCCACCCCTGTGCTTTCAACTCAACTCTCGATGAGGTGATCTGGGAACACACGCGGTAGAGCAACGCTGCAGTTATATTATGGTTGTAGCACGAATGGGTTGGCTCGACCGGGTAGAACCACGCTCCCACAGAATACCAGCGTAAAATAGCAGCTTAATACTGCTGTGTTTCGTATTGTGCGTGTAGAGATTCGGAAGACCATTTTTTACTGGAAATAAGGCATTCCATCTTAGTCCTCAGGGGTGACAACGCATCTGCGTTTTGATTCTTAATCAAGGATAAATGTAGATGTCTATGGGCCACAGCATCCACTTAACAACAGGTGGATTGTGTGCTCGTTTGTCACCCTTATTCCGGATAACTACTTTTACGGATTTTAGCGTGTTTAATTTTTTTTTAAATTAATGACGTTTTAGCAGCATGTTTGACGTCCCGATGTCATAGTTAGCTCGGAATCATAGATAGGGAATTAAAAATAAGTTGAATTATAATTATGAGTGATAAAATCTGTAAAATTATTCAATGTCGACGAGTATTCGTCAATCTTC